ATCTGTAGATAGAATGACAGTTAAAGGTAAACGCAGCTGCTTCATGTTTTTCTGTCTCCGCAACCCCAGTGAGAATAAGTTTTTTGTTCCAAAAATGTTCTGAAAAAGTTCTGCAAAGTTCTACAGATATTTTCAGTGGGAAGTTTGCTTCCGGTTCCCTGAATGTTCTTCTTTCAGGATGGATGTTCTTGAGAGTGTTTGGTGACGACGTCATTTTACTGTTACACCCTAAAGTTGTCAAAACTGAAAACTGCACTGAGAACGTTCTTCCTTTGTTATCGTGGAACATTCTGAGAAAATTTTATCAATTCTATAATGTGTCCCCTTGGCAGTATCCCCAAAACGTTCTCAGAACATTGCAGACAAAATGTTCCACCTTTGTTAATATACCTGAGCGCTCGATAGCGTCTAGAAAACACTTTTTGAATTCTGGTTTGAGAACATTTCTCTTTTGCTGCCATGAAACAATGAGAATGTTCTATACAAGAACGTTTCACAACATGTTCTTCGACAATGTCCCCAAAACATCCTCAGAACATTGCAGGCAGAATGTTCCACCTTTGATCCCAGTACAGGAACGCCATATAAAGAATGTTCCATCATCGGAGGTCTCCATAACCTCTTGAAAATATTTCTTGAATGTTGCATTGAGAACAATGTTCCTTTGGTATCGCTGTGGAAACGTCTTATAGAAGAACGTTCTACAATGTGTAGATGTTCTATCTTTGGTAGATCACATTACAGGAACGTTATAAATAGCGTTCTGTCATCTGAGGCCTCGATAGCGTCTAGAAAACATTTTTTTTTGAATGACGGCTTGAGAACGTTCCTTGTTTTGTTATCATGGAACATTGAGAGAATGTTTTATAGAAGAACAGTCTTTCATGTGTTCCCTCAACAACATCCACAAAACATCCTCAGAACATTGCAGGCAGAATGTTCCATCTTTATTAAAATATAACATTACAAGAAAAAAAATTTAAATCATCTGAAGCCTTGAGAACATCTGGAAAACATTTTTTGAATGTTGGTTTGGAAACGTTCCATCGTTGCTATTATGGAACATGATTTGTGCTCCGGACTGCATCCTCTGAATGTTAAAAAATGATATTAACTGAGGTTCACATTGACTTTAAACATCTGATTGAACCGTTTTCATTCAGACCATCATTAGAACTTAAAGGCGTCACAAGAACGTTCCTCTCTAAAGTTAATCTGAGTTAGCTAAGGTTCTACCAGACAAACATACTGTGATGCAGCATGTAAAGTGTAGTTTTACATTTTTCTGGTTATTGTAGTTGTTCAGCGTCTCAGGATCTCGATGGAACCGACTCAAACTCTGATTACAGTATCAGCTTTCTCTTCATTCTCCTGCGGGACGAGCTGGCAGCCGCTTTCCTTTAATTCCTATTAATGGCAGTTAATGAGCGATCCACGGGCCGGGAGGCGGCTTCAAAGGCCAACGATGTGGCCACAGAAGAGTTAATCTCCTTTAGATTGAGTCCTGAGAACAGTAGGACGTTTCAATATTGAGGAAACCCCCCCGGGGGGGCTTCAAACTCCCTCTTTGTGGCTGTTTCTCATTCTGTCTCGCTTCGCCCTGCAAAGCCTCGTCTCCCTGCAAAGCCTCGTCTCCCTGCGATAGGAGAGCAGGCGTCGACCTGGAGGAAGAAGAGGAAGAAAAACAAACCGGAGTTTCTGACCTGCGGGTCAGACCCTTATAATCCCTGGTATATTGACGTCCCCCAGGTCTGTAACGGTGGAAAATCTGCGGCGCTGTGTGGAGAAATAGATCAGGGAAGAATTCTGGTTGAGTGCTCATTAAGTGTTGGAATGCTGATGTCTCCCTCTATCCATTTCCAACATGTTTTTTTTTTTCTCGGTTTGTGTGTTTGCCCCAGAAATTCAACCCCCACCGAGGGTCTGCTGGCCTCCTCTTGCTTATGCTGCTCTCTGCTTCGTTTCCATATCTCTGTTTTCCGCTCCCACTCCTCCTCCTCCTCCTCCTCCTGCTTCCTCCTCTTCTCTACATAAACTTGTTTTGCTTTCTCTCCCACTGATCTCCTGTTCCTTTCCCACCGCCCGGTCTTCCCGCCTCCTAATTCCTCTCACTCCTTTCACACTTTCTCTCTAAAACCAACTTTCAGTTTCTGCGAATGTCCCGTCCTTCTCGTTCCTGCAGTCTTCCCGTGTTTTTTTTTTTTTTTCCTCTGCTCTCATTCTGCCTACATAAATATCTCTTGTCTGGCTGCCCACCTGTTTGTCCGTCCGTCCGTCCCCCCCCTGTGCCATCTGGTAATGTGGTTGGAGGTGTTGCTCTGCTCTCCATCCATCACAGAGTCAAACCCCAGCTGTCATCTCCCCGGCGACGGCCCGGGGTTACTACGGATACTATCTTCTGCGGAGGGGAGGGAGGTCAACTGTTTCACACAGGAGCAAGTTCATCAGAGTGAAAACTTAATCTCCGGCTTCATATCTGGACCTTAAACATCTTTTTACTGCTTATCCGACCCGTTAGGTTGCTTTGTAGTTGGTTGGCGATTACAGCTGCTGCCACGTTGACTTTTACTGCTTCAGCTGTCTGTGGCTGTGTTTTCTTAACACATTTTTTGAAGCATTGCATTGGAAAAAGTCAAGAAAACGGCTAAAAATGTGAAAAATCGTCCCAGGTTTTGCAGAAAAAAGTAGTCGTACTTTTCTGAATAACTCCTGATTTGCAAACATGACCGATCAGCTGTTTCTTTCTTTGTTTTCATCTCTGGAAAGCATGAAAAACAAAATAATCTTATCAACTTGCCCAATTGAAAACACTCCCTAAACACTTGTTTTCACTTTTTCATAGATGGTGCAAAGTTTTGTTTGTTTCTTCTTCTTCTCTGAGGTTTTTTTCGTGGTTTGCTAACAACTGGGATGCGCTCCAGTATCCATACTTCCATATAACATACCAGAAAAAAAAAGATTTAGTATGTCCCAATAGTGAAACGCAGTGTGACAAAAATACCAGAATGTTTTATTGCATCCGGTCACATTTTTCAGTCTGCGTGCTTTTTTCTGACCCAAAACACTTCTGCAGCAGAAGACGCTTCGCATACGTCAGGGTGTCTATAAACAAGCTTGTGACACAGAGACTGTACAGACAGATAACAGCTCATTTTCCACCACGGACTGCGGCAGATATACGAGCAAGACGGTCAGAGTTTAAGGGGCAATCGTGTGACAAAGTAATGCGTCCCAACTGCATGCAACAGTAAATATTTGGCTGAATTGCACCATTTATCAGAGCCGATTGTTCCGTGACTTACGGCTTTGTTGGAGAACGTAACGTCTCATTTAGAAATATTCTGGGAAAAGCATTTGCTCGTTTCAGCCACCGTGAAGCCGATTGTGATCCCGCTGTGGCTGACAGTTGTGAGACAAAAACTCATGGGTTATTTGGCTGAACTGCAGGCAGTGTTTGCACAAAATAAAAGCAGTAAAATACTCAGTATGATAGCCAGTATTGTTCCTCAGTATCTGTAACATCTGTAGGCACGAGGGAAAATGTTGTTCCATTATTTTCAATTAAAATAAAATAAGTAATCAAAAATATCTTGTGATTTAAGTCATTATAACTCAGGTGTGCTGCTGCAAAATACATTTCTGAGTTATCTCTACTTCTAGCTATGGCTGAGATGCAGGACTTTATATTGCTGTAAAAAACCAGAACCAACAGTGAAGAAAATTGTCCAGAAACTTTCAGAAAACTTCCCCTCAAAGAAGCGATTTTTTACACGAGGGCCAGTTTACTCTTTATGAGGCGTAACAGTCAGTCTGTGAAAACAGCTGCGGAGACTTCGAGGCAAAGTTAAGAAAATAGCCCCGATGCATGAATAATGTTATAATTCAGGTGAGAGCAATCTTGCGTTATATATGGGGAATTTAAAAAAAGAGATATTTAACAAGCTGCATCGTGGGAAACGTAGACCAGAACATCTCTACGTTTACTAGTCCTCGTTCAGCATCAGAACACGCTGGATAATCTAGTGTTACTAAAAACAATTTCTGCCCTCGGGTCACAATAAATCACGTCCTGGAGGCAGAACATGTCGAGACTAAAGCGATGTGATCCTTGTGGCGAATGACTTTACCATAAGCATGTGGCTCGGGCTTTTTCCCATTCTACCATCCTGTGGTCCCTCGATTCTCAGCCGTGGCATCAGAAAACACAAACAACTAACCGCCGACACAGATGACCACAAATACTCGTCATTATACGCTTTGAAAGGTCACTGAGGATATCATTAGCGCCACCACATATAGCTGGAATCCCAACAGCTCCATGCAGCGCGCGCCGTCTCACGCTCGCCTCCTCGTAAAATTTTTTGGATTGATGCATTTTCTAAACGCACTGACATACAACCTGGTGTGTAATTATTCAAAATATGCACCGTCGGTCACAGTAGCTTGTAAAGCAGCTGCAGGTTTGTGTGTGTGTTTTGGAGTGTGTGTGAGCTCAGTCAGTCATCTCTAGATGTGGTTTAGCCATTTCCTCAGAGGGAAGCTTTGTGGCGAACCTGTCAGGCCAATCGAGCACAACGTACGCCGTGATGACTCTTACATCTGTCAGACGGGGTCAAAGTTTGATCCTCGCCAGTAAAAATCAGAGCTTGAATGAGTCGGTCGGGGGGTTGGATATGTGCCAGAAAACAGGAACTCCAGAGAAAGACGGACTTTACACATCCTGTCCTTCGGAGTTTAGAGTTCAGCATTGAAAGAAAAACAAAATGGTCCTCCTCATGCTGCAGGCCCCTCGCATTTCCTCCCCTCCGCCCCCCAAAACATGCCTCCATCCATCATTCGCTTTGTATCAAAGTTTGTTTTGTTTATCCTGAAAGCGGAGACCGTGCGGGCTCAGAAAATATCTCATAACCGTGTGTATTTGTTTAGGGATTTTTACTGAAATATGTTTGGGAGGTCAGGGCGAGTAGTGAAGTTTGTTTGTTCTTTTTTGTCTCCGTCAGGCCCAATGTGTGTGGCTCCCGCTTCCATTCATACTGCTGCCCGGGCTGGAAGACGCTGCCGGGAGGGAACCAGTGTATTGTTCGTAAGTTCCTCCATCCTTTAAAATCCTCTTTGATACGAGCTCGGTGGAGAAGATAACAAATAGCGGCTCGTTCTGTTTGTGCTATTATGTGTGACTGAATGCAAGAAACATAAAGGAAGCAAGTAAACTCACTGCTCTTCCTCTTCCTCTCTCCAGCAATCTGCAGGAATTCGTGCGGCGATGGATTCTGTTCCAGACCCAACATGTGTACCTGTTCCAACGGGCAGCTCTCGCCCAGCTGTGGCGCAGGAGCAGGAGGTCAGTCGACTCACTTCACATGCACGTATAGAAAGTGAAACTCCAGCACCTGGTCCTGTCAGAAGGCTAGAGTTAGGGCTGGGTCATGCTTTCAGAATCTGTATGTCCGTGTCGGTCTGCTGATGGTTGCATTGCCCCACAGACTGAACACATCAGGCTCCCGTGGATGTTTGTGAAAGGCTGAGGTTTTACACTTCTTGCAGCAAACAGTAGCTGGTTACAGATTGAACAATAGCATCAGGTTGATGTGATTATATATATGAGGTGTGTCGAGCTCACTGGGTTTACATAGCACCAAGTATCTGGAGAATTTAGAGCCTCCTACTGTATTTGAGCTCCGTCGATGCAAAGCATGTACAAATTAAAGCCCCTCCAAAGTCCAGCAGTAACTACTTCAACTGCAAATCTTCTTATGATGAATTATAAAGGTGGGGATGATGGAGAATCTCCTCAAACATATCACACGATATCTGGAGAATTTAGAGCTTCTCACTATGTTCGGGCTCCATTGATGCAAAACCAAAAATAAAAGTTCCTCCAAAGTCTAACAGCAGATAACTTAAACGGCAACTTGTTGAATGATAAAAGAAGAATCTCTTCAGACGTATCACAGGATATCTGGAGAATTTAGAGCTTCCGACTGTGTTTGAGCTCCATCGATGCAAAACATCTACAAATCAGAGCACCTCCAAAGTCTAACAACTGCTACTTCAACTGCCTTCCTTCAAATCATGAATTATAAAGATGTGGATGACTAAGAATCTCCTCAGATGTATCACAGGACATCTGGAGAATTTAGAGCTTCCCACTGTGTTTGAGCTCCATTGATGCAAAGCATGTACAATTAAAACCTCCTCCAAAGTCTAACAGCACTTTAATTACAACTCTTAATCATGAATTATAAAAGTGTGGATGACAGAGAAACTCCTTTTACAGTCTAGTCTGATAACAAGTATTTGTTTTAAGCACCATTTATATTCCTGGAACATGTGCACCACAGACTGTCCATGCAGTCGCAAATTTTATGCTGCATGCAGATGTCTGCAGTGGGAACTCTCGCACACTTGGTGGATGACAAAATGTACATCACCCTTGCAGACTTTTGCAGAATTAGTTAATAAATTCCACACCTGCGACTATGTCTGGGTCCGATAGGGTATGTCAGGGTCTGCATGATGTAAACTTTGACATCTGCGAGAGTCCAGACTGTTCAGACCGCTCTTTGGACGTCCACGTGTAGTCCAAAAACTACATTACATCCATAGTTTCTGCAGCTGTCTGTAGCTTTCCACGCATTGATCCACAAGGAAATGTATTCCTGACTGATATGGTAGCAGACAAAATGAAGTAGGGGGATAAATATTTGGCTGGATTTGGTCCGTTACTTTACATTCATTCAATGGTTTACACATAAATCAGGGGCCATTTGGGGTTCGGTTTCTTGCACAAGGTCACTTTTGTGGACCAGCATCAACTTTGGAGCATTAAACAGCAAATCACTGAACAGTTCCCAGTTCTGACTACTAAAATGGTGAATACTTATTGATTTTTTTGTCTTTTGTGATTCTAAACTTAACTTTATGAAGCTCTTGACTGCTACTTAAACAAAACAAAAGCTAATTTGATAATTTTCTGGAAATATGGTGTGATATGGCCTCTTAGCTTAGCATAAAGTCTGAAAGCAGGAGGAACCAACTAGCCTGGCTCTGTCAGAAGATAACAAAGGTGTCTACCAGCACCTCTAATTAAGTTGGAAGCAGTAAATTCCTGGACAACTGTTCCTAGAAGTCATCAGGCGGCTAACGCCTATAAAACGGTAAATTGCTGCCTTCACGCTTTCGTTTTTGTACGAATCAAACAACCGTCTTATGTAACTCTTCATGTGGATGTCACAGAATGCCGAACTGTTCCAACCGCTTACTAACACACGAGTAGAAACACAAAAGTCAGAAACTCGAGATGCTTGCTGTTGCTTTTTGAAGTCTATTGTTTACAGCTCAAATAGCAGGATTGGAAAGTGGTTGGAAAGGGTTTTCTCTAATTTAGTTCCCAGATTAAAGACTTTCGCTGGAGACAATCTGGTATGTTGATGACATTATCTCATTCCTTGCTGTATGATACCAATAACATCTAGACGCAGTATACGCACTTTATTCTAAACGACTCGAGCTTTGCTTCACTTTGCTGTGTAATCCCACTAAGTGGTTCAAACTCCTTGGAGCCATGTTATCTGTTACACTGAGCTGGTTCAGTTTCTTAACCCTCCAGTTGCTTAGTTTAATGGTCCCACCTTTCTGTTATGGGAGCAGGAATAAGCAGTGCAGTCAGTGTAATAGCAGAGTCCTGCGCCACAGTCTGCAGGTCACAGAGTTTGTCAGGATTAAAGCAGAGAGTCTGGCTGCCCCGGCTCAGTCTACTGGGCTTAGTTACAGACCACTCAGGATGTGTGTGCGGACCGAAGTGTTTTACTGCACATGAAGGAGTGTGTGAAATCACATTTGTCTTTGTGAGATTACTGCAGTGTGTGCAGGGTTTAAGTATGAAGCTAATGTGTGCCGGACATGCCGAAAACATTGTTGTTAAGCGCCACTTTGGGAGCATGCAGTTTGTGTGCCAATGTGTGCATTGAGTGGCGTGCAATGTGTTCAGCTTCACTGCTTTAGTAGGCCAAAGTCAGCTCATCAGTCACGCCTGGCCCCTGCCAGACCCTTTACACATGCTCACATTCCATTAATCCCACATTTTCACTTGCACTGAACTGTACACACATGCACGGACGCTCACACTCGCATCCAAACGGACAGAGAAGTGTAGGTCGCGCACACACACAGCGAGCATCAGTTGGACGTGACCCAGAGGTGTAAAACAGGATCTGCTCCAGCCAGGAGTAAGCCGGGCCCTCAGGAGAGAGGCCGCGGTGAGAAAGGTCGCCTCTGACCTGTATGGCAGGACCTGCACAGATGTCCTGCAGTGTCAGTGCTTTGGCAGGAGCTGTGAAGTCATGTTCCTCAGGGCCATCGATGCCTCTCAAAAGCGGAGTGATAAATTAGAGCGAGAGCTTAGCAGAGCTGGACCGAAAAGTTTCTGTGACTCTCAGCTTTCCTCAGCTGGGATTTGTCTTGGCTCGTCTACAGGTCTGCAGACAGCGGGGAAGAAGAGGAAGCTACTGAGATGCTGCGTGATCGGTTTATTCACAGACAACTTTATTGTTCTATGAATAGCAGATGGGAAAGTTGTTAAAATGCTCGCTTGGAGTTTATCACCGTGGAAGGCCTTCCTCTGGCCTCTCTGCCAGCTTTAATGAATGTCAGAGGTCAAGCAGTGCTCAAAGAAATGATGCACGCAGGTTGCATCTGTCTTTTTGAGCTATGACAACTTCAAATGACATTATGTTCCACCGATAAACTACAAGGAGTTAAGGGAAATTAGCTTTTCCTCTTCAGGCAAAGGTATTCTTAATTACCAGTCTTAACCGCCTGAAATTTTCCAGGCCTGTAAAGACGGATGAGGGGACTGGAAATCCCCAAAATTAAGTCATCGAGCCAATTTCTTGACGTTAGCTCAACTTGAATTTAGTTTTAAACCAACTAACGCAGAAATTTGTGTTGAAATTACACACAGTAATAAGAGTCTCAACCTGAAATCCTGACCTCAAGGTGAAGAAAAGTAAGTAAACAAACCAATTTAATGAAGTTAACTCAACTTGAATTTAGTTTTTAGATCAACTAACGGAGAATTTTGTGTTGATTTTCAGAACAATATTAAGTTAATGCAACTTTATTATGTCAACGCAGCTTAAAAGGTTTAACCAAATCAGCAAATTAGATTTATTAGTATTGCAACCGTGCATTTAGCTAAGTGGTAGAAATAGGTTTAGATCACTTTTTAGGGAGTATACTTGGAGATAAAGTGAATTTCCATCAGTTAACCAGATGCTGTAGGATGATCCTTCGTCACCATGAAGCTACATTCATGTATTAATCCCAAACGTCACGTCGTAATCCCTCTAATCCATTAAAAGTACTCGTTAAGCTGTGTTGGGACGTTTTAAACTGTGTAACTTCATCGATAGTTGGTTCCAAATCTTTGTTCTGATTTAAACTCCCTCTGAGGACTCACTGTTTTAGGTGTGTTTAACAAATTGCTAAGTTGAAAAGTGTTTTCACAACATTATCAGTCTCAGAGGTTTCTACTCAGGCCAAAAGGAGTCGAGCACTCTCATTGTAGATCTTGTCTTACCAAATGTGATAACTCCCAAATCCAGCTTTTGGCCAGTGTCCACCTTTTAACAGGATAATTCAGTGCTGTTGGAAACAAATTGCAGCTCTATGGAGATCCATTTCCAAACGCCAATTTCCTCTGCCCTAATTACACAGCCTGATTCTTGCACCCCGGTTTGCTGGGTTATAGATAGCATCTTTATGTCTCACGTCTTGCCTGTGGAATGCAGAGGTTTAAATAAATCAGCAACACATTTGCGACTTTCTTCATGTAAGCCACATGTCTGTGATTATTGTTGTGTCCACACAGATGGTCGACTATGATTTTTTTCTTAATGACTCTTCCTGGAATCTTCGCCCGTTGCCAGCGAACAATGCAAGCACATGTTTCTGTGAAAGACCTGGCAGCCTGTTGGAAATGCACACATTACCAGAAATAGGAAAGTCAGATCTCTTCAGAGCAGAGGTGGCTTCAGAAGTGCATGAGTCACATTTACTGATAACTCGGAGGTGTCATGTCGCTTCCAGACAACAAGGGTTCACGCTGGCAGTCACCCTTGTAATAAAGCAGAGTTCAGGGCAGAGCAGCTGTGCCGAGCACCAAATACGGCTCTCTTTATAACCTTGTCTTCCCATAACCATAATTACGAAATCATTACCAGGGATGTTCTCGCCCTAATGGTGAGAAACAGCTGTCTTTAGACTGACAGGCTTCCATTGGCCATCGAGGGGCCTTTTTAATTAGAAACCAGGCCGCTCGCATGCAGTCCAACTTGACCA